CTATTATAATATTAAATCTTTATTTCTAAAATTGACAGAATTACATAATATATTACAATAATTTAGGAAAATAATCTTACTAATTCTAAAGTATACTCATCTTCACTATAAACAATTTTATCATCTTCATAACCAATAATAATTTTTTTATTTTCTTCATTAATAATAATTTCTTCTTCTTTACTGATAATAATGGTTTTTTTTTATTAATAATAATATTTTCTTTTACCTATTAATATCACTAGTAGTATATAATTTTTCCTAGTAAGCTTCTTTTTTATGTATATTTAGATATTTACGAAATGCTGCTTATCTTGTAAATTATGAACACACTACTTATTAAGATAATAAGCGTAATAAAACTTTAATCTAATGTAATTTTCATAAATTATTCAGTAAAAAATTAATATTTTTTTTAAAAAAATAGACAAGAAAATATCATGATGAATCGTAAGAATTAGGATTAGAAAGTGCGAAATAAAATAAATTAAAAAGATCTAAAAAATCTATTATTACTATACCATCATTAACAAAAGAATTAACATCAAGTGTTGAGCAACATGAATTAGAAAAACCTAATATTATTATCATATGACTATTAGCAAGAAACTTGAATTCTTCTACATAAAAATATATCCTTTTAATGTAATATATAGCAGCTAATACTATTGAAATTATAAAATCCAAATGAAAAGTTCTTGTTGATTTTGATAAGCATATGTTAAAATAATTCTATAATAATAATTTTTCTATTAACAGATTATGATTAAAATTTAATATTATTTCTTTAAGTTCTAAAATATTATAAGAAGAAAAAAAACTTATTATTTAAAATTTCTAATGATCTTAAAAGTTATCATAATTTTCAACAAGATTTATCTGTTGAGATACACTAAATTAAAGAAGAATTACATAATCAGAAAGAATTATTTTCATGTATTATAGATCTTTTAACTACAAAATCTTCAACTACTAAAAGTGTAATTTCTATTAAAGAATTTCAAAAAAGCCTAAGCTTTCAAATATTTATCAATTCTGATGGTAGTATATCATAATTTAAATAATTCATTAATTATATTACTATCTTATAATTATAACTTTAAAAATTTCTCTTTCACAGCCAATAATAAAGGAAAGTATGCAGAAGTTGTTTCAAAAACATAAACACCCTTCCAATAAACTCATTGAAAATGTGTTAAAGTATACTATTAGAATAGGAGCATTGGAAAAATTTCTTGATATAAATAATCTACAAAATGGATAGGACTCATTCTAGCATCATGCAAACTCAAGTGTAAGTTTAAAACACACTTAATCTTTTTTAAGATTATAATTTTGCTATTAATTTCTTTTGATATTTATATATAATAGATAATGAAATATTTTTAAACTTATTGTGATAGATATATACAAAAAATTAAAGATAGATTATACAAGTATTTCAATCTGTTTGATGGTCAATTGAATTAACACTCTTCTATTGAACAATGTGTGACTTAGAAAGAAAAACCAGAAGTGAAAGTAGCATGTCAACAGCTTTTTAATCAATTAATCCTGAAAATCCTGATACAATAACTTATATAAAAAAAATTATATCAGATATTTTTTTACTAGAAGAATCAAAAAAAAGAATCAATATGCTTTTTATAATTATAGTTATAATAATGATATTAGATGTTAACTATCAATGAGGTAATATTGATAGTACTGAGTTAAATAATAGAATGGAAAATTGATCAGGTATAGTATCATAAGATAAAAAGGTATTTAGATCTTATCTTTCATTACTTATTATATTTAAAATTTATAATTTATAATCTTTTATATATTTTTTTATATGATAGAATGATAAGCAAATTATATAAAATGATGATGATAGTATAAGAGTAGATAACAATCAAGAAGATACTTTATCTAATTATAATAGCAACTGAAATTATTTATTAATAATATCTTAATTTATAATGCTATAATAAAATACAATAAAAATTTTATTCATAATATCATTAAATTTAACAATGTATATCATAAATATATATAATGAAATAAAAAGTATTACAACGAATAAATATTGTAAAAAAAATTGTGTTGTATTATATTAAGTTAGTTGTACATTATAATTTAAAGTTGTACAATATTTATATATTATATCGTGATGTGTTTTCTTATTTTAAAATACTGATATAATTTATTTATAATCCTTTTGCCTTATTAAAATTCTTTAAGTATTATTATTATATAATTTACTATATTAATTTAGAGTCTCTAAAGTGTAATCTTTAAAATATCTTTAAGTTATCTTTGTATTTATTTAATGTTTATCTTACATGTTTTATATTAAGAATAATTTTAATATTATTGTGAATTCTCACTCATGATTCTTTAAGTAATTATTTTGGTATTTATTTATCTTTTGAGATTTTAATTGAAGCTACAAAATCATTATAATAATAGGACTATATATAAAACTATGTAATAAAAAGAAGAAACTATCAGAAAAATAAAAATAAGTTTATAATATATTTTGCATATAAAAGTAAATTTAGTAGTTTTTCTCTTTCTATTATAAAGCTTTTATTTATAAAATAGAATTAAACATTTAAATTTATAGTTATTCTTAATTCATACAATTTAATTATTTCTTTGTAATAAAAAAAATGCTATTAAAATGCATAATACTATATAAAATTCTGAATAGATTAGTTTAGATCAGATAATCAAGTTACTTGAATTAAAAAGATCAAATAAAATTTAAATTTTTATTTGACCTGATCTAATCTAATCTAATCTGATTAAATTATTTAAAAAATAATATATTATATTTATTTAATTTAAAATTCTAATTTATTTTTACTATTTTTCTTTTGCTTTTTTCTATAAAAAATTGTATATAAAATAATATAAAAATTTTTAATTTGATGATTAATTATAGTTATATAATTAATATTATTGAAAATCAATTTTTCAATCTTTTTTCTAAATTATTATATTTTTTTTTTCTTATTTTAACAAAAAAAGACACCTTTATTTTATTTAATATAAGTTTTAAAAAAAAAAAATCTTATTTTTTAAATTTAAATACTTAAACCAGTAAGAATTCTTATTAAATGTAATTTTTTTATTTTTATAAATTTTAATTTTTTATATATTTAATATAGAGATTTTATGATAAAATTTGAGCAAATTAGTTAAAATCAATTATCTTTTATCTTTAAGTAAAGTTATTCAACAGATTTAGTACTATTTACATCTAATTTTTTATTAAGATTAGTTTAATATTTATATAAAAATAATTTTTTTATAACTTTATTAAATAAGTTATACTTTTTAACTTTACAAATTAATTTGATTACTTTAGTAAAATAAATTGCTTATTGCATATTATGACAGGTAAAATTTTAAATAGATTTAATTAATAAATTAAGAAGTCAATTTTATTGCTATATAGATTATTAGGAAGATCATTTTATCTATTTTATTACTATCAATCATTATGTAAATCCCTAAATATCAATTTTATTGCTTTTAATAATCACATAGATCACAGATGTCTATTTATTTGCCTGCAGATCTAATAATTTTATTAATATAGTAATTTTATTTTCTGCAAATCTGTCAACTTTATTTCTATTGAAAATTTTTAGTTTAGTTTATAAGGTAACTGATGAGATGTTAATCTTTTAAGTACTAAACTTATTATATAAATAAAATAATATAATTAACTAAGTATAAAACTTATCCTTTGCAATCCTTCAAAACTATTATAATTTATTTGTGATCATTTTGCATTCATTTGCAATCCTTTTTAATTATTATTAATAAACTTATTGATATTGTATTGATTCACTATATTGATTTAAAGTACTAAAACATAATTTCTACAATATTTTTAAGTTATTTTTGTATTTATTTTATATTTATCTTACATGTTTTTATATTAAAAATAATCTTTGATGTTATTATGAATTTTCATCTGTGATTTCTCAAGTAATTGACTTAGTTTTATTTACCCTTTTAAAATTTTAATTAAAACTACAAAACTATTGTAATAATATTAAATAAATAAATATATTCTATAGTTCAAAACTACTTGCATATAATATTATATTAATATTGATTTAATATTTATTGAATAATAATTATTTTTCATAATTGTATTAATTATAGAAATTTTTTTAAATATTTATTTGTGTAATATTAAATACTGTATCAATAAAAAGTATATTATAAAATTATCATATTTTATGAAAAAAGTATTAAATAAAAGTTATAACTTTATTTTAAATAATAATTAATTTTTTGAATAAGTTTTAAAAAATTTTTTTTTGAATTTTATTATATTTTTAAGATTATATAAACAATAATTTATAAAATAATTAAAAGTTAAAATTACTATTTTTTATACAGAATTATATTCTTTTAAAATATGTATTAAATTATAATAATTAATAAAAAATTAAAAAACTTTTATTAAAAGTAAAATATACTTTGAATTTCATAAAAAGTATGTAAACTATACTTTATTATTCTCCTACTACTTGTAGGAATGGGATGACTCTATTAGTTTTATTTCAGTTTGCGAGTCAAAGTGAGTCAAAGTGAATCAAACTGATTGAGTAGCTCTAGATAACCAGTTATAAGTGGCACTCAGAACTGAACTGACTGAGTCGACTCTGATAAATTTAAACTAATTTAAATAAATTAAAATAAATTAACAAATATAAAATTTAAAATTTAAAATTTAAAATTATATAAAATAGATCAAAATCATTATTCAAATTATTATTCAGGTAATTAATTAATATAAAATTAGCGTAATTTTAATTATAGAATTGAATAAACATATTTAGTTCAGGCTATTAATTATATCACATTAGCGGAAATGTCATATTCTACAAAAAATAATGTATATTAGAAATGCTTGTATTAATATAAAAATTTTTTATATTTAATATAATTGCCAAAAATTTTTATTTATTTATTATTATTATACTACTTTATTAATTTACTAAATTTTTATCCATCCAACTCTTTACACACAAACAAGCTCTTGATATTTCTGGTAATTTTGTAATCACATTTTCTGTAATTAAAAATGCTTGCTCTAATGTAATACTTGTAGCTTGTATTATTAGATAATCTCGAGCTATATTACTCAAAATTAGAAATTCATTTGAATAAGCTTGCCACTATAAAAGAGTTTTAGTTTTTTTATCAATTAGTAGTTCAAAATAATGATTTAATTCTGTTTCTGTCTCTAATACTGAAGTAGAAATTTCATTTATAGGTGCTATATTTTATCGAAGTCATATAAAATATTAGCGATTCTTTTTAACAGGGGTAGATAGAACTAAATTTGTAGATGAGTAAGATTGTTCTTTATAGAGTTCAAATATAG